ACCATTTTTGTATTTTGCATATTTATTCTTATTTTATTTAATTTATGCAATTAATCATCTTGTAAAATATTTCAATATTGATGTAATAGTTTTAGGTTTACATTACTTGTCAAAATCCCCACTTGAACATTTGTACCCCCTTTCCCATATTTGGTTTTGTAATAGTTTAGTAAATTTATTTTCGCACTTTATTGCTTTCTAATTATGCCATGTTAGAATTAGGGTTTGTATGCGAAAAAACGACAAAATAGTTATGACCTAATCTCAAGACAAACAAGCATGAAAATGGACACACAAATCACACTTGCACCCCCGAGGGTACTCCCACTTGTTGCCTTTCAAATTGGGCCATATTGCATGTTAGGTCTTTTTGGGCAAAACAAACAAATTGAATGATCATAGTCCCCTCGATAACACTTTTCAAAACAAACAAAAACAAATGATCAAGTCCCTTAAAGGAAATGCCCAAAGATACCTAACACCGTTGCAATTATGGTCTAAACGATGACCCGCGCCCGTCCCTCTCACATCCTAACATGAGATTGTCCACCAAATACAATGGTGGAACAAACCTGTTAAAAGGGTTAAAACATAGCAATAACCTTTTGAGAAATTTAGGAGTAGATAACCTCTTAGTTACTTGAATCAATCTTGCAAACTAAAACACTTGCCTATTTCAAAAAAACCACACATCACTACACTCTCAAAACAACTTTCAAAAGCAAATGAAAACCTTTTTCAAAAGACATACACCTTTGTATACATCCCCACATGGATCATTACAAAGGTTGCCACCACATTGGCTTCTTTTCAAAATATTTTCAAACCCACACACACAAAGCACCATTTAAAACAATTGAAAACAAAAGGCAAGTGATCTAAGCAAGTAACTGAGAGCCCATGGATAACCATGGATAGAAAGGGTGCTAATACCTTCCCTTTCTATAATCTACTCCCCGAACCCAAGAAAACATCTCAAAAAGGTTTTTGCTGTGCTTTTTAACCTTTCCTTAGGATAAAATAAAAAGTCGGTGGCGACTCTTGCTCAACCGAAACATTTGCGAAAACAAACGCAAAACGTCAAGTCAGTTCTCCCACCGTATCACAAAGGGCCCATAAAGCAAGAGCACCATGCTCAGGAGTCAACAGCGCTCCACTCAATTCAAGAAGTCAAACGAGCTGAAGACTCAAATGGGCCAGGATTCAACAATGCACCTCTTATTCCAGCCCACACCCCCCTTGGGTTTACTCTTTTTATTTATTTTGTTTTTTCATTTCCTTTTTATTTATTTGCCTTATTTTATTTTTTATTATTAACAATTAACATAATTAACATATTTTCATAAAAAATCAAAAAAATAGAATTAACCTTATTATTATTATTATTCTCATATTATTTTTGTAAATAAACCTTAACAAATAAATAGTTTAATTAGGCAATTTTAACTTCTTTTCTTGATAATTAAAATAGATTTAGAATTAGGTAAAATTAACTTTTAATTTTATTTCTTTTTATTTTACTCCATAAAAACATAAAAACACAAAAAAATATATTTTCTTTTAATGAATTAATTAATTAGATTAGGTTTATTTTATTAATTCCATTTAATCACAAAAAGACCAAAAAAATCCAATTTCTTTTCTTAAAAGGGCCAACACCCTTAGAACATTTCCGATTTAATTTTTATTCGCGCATAGTTCATTATTATGTAATTGCTTTCAAGTATGTAATAGTAATTAGGTTTATTGTTTTTATTTACTTTCCGTACTTATTTACCAAAAACGGGTCTTTGTATTTTTGGCGATGTATAGACCCGCGCCTTGTAATAGCGTAGGATTTATGTTTCCGCAATTTACTTTCCGCACCCCCTAACTGTTAAATGCATGAAAGAATGTATGGTAAATAAAAACAACTCGTAGCTCACAAATAACATGTACAAAAACATTAACATGAAAACAACACACAATGCACATGCCACTCTTAGGGTACGCCTCACTCGTTGCCTCGAAACGTGGTCATCAAGTATAGGATGTCTTAGAGGTCACCCTTTGTCTCAAGATCCCGTTGCCTCGAAACAGTTGCCTCGGATAAAAGGATCTAGGACGTTAGGGTTATTTCTAAGGTGTCCTACCGTTGCTTTGGTGACCACACAGTCCCGATAATCGAATTGACCCGAACACCTCCAACGATGGTGCTACCTATCTCTCAATGGTGGGATAACACTATCTAAAGGACTCTTACACAGCTTAATTCCTTAGGGTAGGTAGATTCTCTTAAGTACTTGCTCTTTCTCAAAACAAACAAAATACTTTTCACACCTCACACTTTCTAAAAGTTTTCAAACAAATTTTTCATACACTCTTGAGGACTGATACAAGAGTTACTTAGAAATTTTTCAAACGAAACTTTTTCAAAACCCACACACACTTGAAAAGCAAATAAATTTTGAAAACATAAGAGCAAGTACCTAAGAGCCCGTGGATAACCACGGATAAAAAGGGTGCTAACACCTTCCCTTTCTATAAATCTACCTCCCGAACCGAGAAACATTCTCAAATAAGGAATTTTGCTGTGCTTTTGTCCTTTCCATGTTGGAGAACATAAAAGACGGTGGCGACTCTTGCTTACCGCGACATTTCGCGAAACCAGCTAAAAAAACAGTCAGTTCTATTTCCACCGATCACAGCCCAAACCTATGTTTGTAAGCCCAGGTATGTTAATTTGAACCCTTTGATCCAATAACCTTGAGATTCATTGTTAGGAGGCTTTGGTTCTACCAATCCTCCAATGGATCTTCTTCAATTTTGGTCAATGCGGATCACTTAAACATCATTGATCATTAAATGTTACCTTGAGGATTCTTAAATCAATGATATACTTGACAAAAAGCAAATGCAACTTGTTGTTGATAGGCTTTGGTTCAACCAATCCTCTAATGAGTTCCAAATGCAAGTTTCAAGATGGTCATCCAACTAATCATTAAATTCTAACTGTTGACTTTACTTCATGCTTTTATATTATGCTTTTACTTTATACACCATTTACTTTAGCATTTATATTTCATGCTATTTTCATCTTTGCTCATTTGAGCATTTACTTTTATGCCATTTTCTATTTTACTCACTTGAGCTTTTCTTTTCCTTTTGAAGATACTTAATAATCAACATGAACCATAAAAAACTTTAATTTTACTTGGACTATTTGGTTACTATCCTTGGCATTATGGAGTATTGGACTTCTTGGACTTAGGAGTAGAAACCTTGATCTTATGTTGGAGACATTGTGACCTTAATTGATATTTTGTCTGGAGTTCTTGAGGTTTACCTCAAGAAATTGGGTTGTTTGTTTTTTTATGTGCAGGTTATTGTGATTACCTACTTTGTCTGTAATTTGGAATTCATCTGTATACAATCGTTACTCTACCCAATTTTTGTGAAGACTTAATACATTTGAAGTTTGGTCTTCTCAAGAGGTTTAGTATCCTTGCTTGGTTTCAATCCAAAGAATAGGAATTCTATCTTGACTCATAATATCAAGTGTTTGCTTCTTATTAGTTAGATGGTTCTTCTCCCTAGCTTTTACCTTATGCTTTAGTATAGTCTCTTCATCTCCTCTCATCTTCTTTAATTTCAAAAATCTTCTCCCTCCTTTTGAAAATTCTTCTTGTTTCTAAACTTGAATCACTTTCATAATAAACTTGGACTTAGGTCCATGTATTTTCAAAACATTTTCTTAAACAAACTTCAATCAACTTAATAATATCTTGACATTTTTGTGAGAAGACTAAAAGTCAATCAATCTCATTCAAACCATTTTTACATTTTGGCTCTTATCTTTAAAACTTTTCTCAAAAGATTAGACTTTTGTCAATACTTGTAGTGATGCGAACAACTATACTTCTACAATATATAGTGAAGTGAGATATTTTCCACTTGGGTGTTGAGTGAGGCATTGTTGATTTTAAAATCAAAGCCATATCATCCACTTTAAGATGATGCAAATTCTCCTTTCTCATGATTGTGGGTAGTAAGTATGTTTTCCACACGGACAATGACGATGATGTCTTATCTCATAAAATTAACCAACACACTTGTGTTTTAAAAAATTTTAAAGAGGAACTACGTGTACCATGATCCCCTATTACACGAAAGGTGGTACGTAGGCACTAAAGGTTCGCAACCGCGGCGGGTGCAAAAATCATAAAAAAATATTTCTTTTCTCACCTCCACCATATATTTTATACAATATTTTATAGCCAAAATATACAGATTTTACAAAGAGATTCCTGCGGAGTACCGTAGATGTTTAGGGTGATAATACCTTCCCTTTGCATAACCAACCCCCTTACCTTGAATCTTTCCCCATCTTTTGGGTTATTCACTCTTTTCCCATTCCTTTGGAAACAATAAAGTGCGGTGGCAATTTTATTTTGATTTGTACAAGTCTAGTCAATTCAATGCCTTAGTCTTAACATTTCTATCGCTACACTATCCAGGTTAATTAAACTTCTCTTTAAGACACAAAAACAAATCTTCAGATTCATATGCTTAAATACTCATCCTACTCCCCCTTTTGTCATCAACAAAAAGAAGTACGCAGAATAAACATAATAATAAACAAATCTTTAGATTAAAATGTTTGTGAAATTAAAAATATGGATAAAAATGATCAAAATCAGTCTTTGCTTTCCCCAAAAAAAATTGAATAAGAAGAAAGAACAAGTTTCAAAAACTTTGAAAAATGGCTAGAGTGGTTGAGAACTATTCTTCAATTCTCGAGGTGGTAAATCCTTATCCTTTCAGCTGAGCATGTATGGGAAAAAACAGTAGTTAAAGCTAGAAACATTATCTTGTAGACGTAGAATATAGCATTCTTTCATTGCCATTGGTGCACAACAACCCAAAACTTATTATGCTTTAATCATAAATTCTCTATATAAGTAGAATATCATTGCAAGCAAGGTTTCATTCCTTCACCGATCTCTTCTTATCTCTAAAAAATGAGAAACTCAACTAAGAATTCCAGGATCAACGCCTCCAAGGAAATTATTAAGGTCAAAGAGACCATGTCTTTTAAGAGAAGCGCCTCTCAGAAGGATGAAATAATCAAATCTTCTGAAGGTGTAAGGACATTCACTAGAGCATCAAGGGTAGGAAGAACTTTAGTGAAAGGAATGAAGAAACCCAAAAAGATGAAGGATTCAACTGATCGAATACAATTTGATTCAAATACAAATTATGAGTGGGATGTTGATTGTGGGAACTTCCTCATGGCACGAGGTTAGAGTGAAGACCAATATTGGAGAGTATTAGCTTTGTTGTAATGCACTTTTTGTCTCATGATGATAATTATGAGTCTTGAAATCATTCCAGATTAATAAAATCTTAGTCCTTTCCTCATTATTTGAATGCAATTCTCTTGTCACTAACTCCCTTTGAATGAGCCACTGATAGAGAAGTCTCAGAAAAGTGTTCAGCTAGTTTTCTTACAAAATTTTTTAGTCAAACATAGTTGAAAAGAAAAAATTGACTTAAGGATTGCAAGACCAGATTTTATTTTACCAGAAAACATAATAATTCTCAATATTAAGATAGCTCAAAGTATGAGCAAAACAACAAAATCTAAGAGATAAGAAAATCCACCAGATAAAACACCAAAACAGTCAGAGGACTTTTCAGATAAGTGACACATAAGTGGACATAAGATACACAAATAAAAAGACTTTCCACTTATATGCTATCAGAGACAATTAATCAAATTCTTAGCATTAGAGTTTGAGATTCTTCAAAGTTTACTATTAATCAGAAGCTAGTTTAGAACTTTTGATAACAGTAGCTTCTGATCATCAGACTATGATCCTTCAGTCAGAAACCAACACTAATCTTTAACAAAATGAATGTTCAGATTCTTTTTAATAAAATCAAATCTTTCAATAGTAAGAGGCTCGGTAAATATGCCAGCCTATTGATGATCAATATCAATGAATTATATATCTATTACACCCTTCTGAACATAATCTCTAGTAAAATAATGTTTGATTTCAATATTCTTGGTTCTGGAATATTGAACAAGATTCTTTGTTAAACAGATAGCAATAATATTACAAAATATGGGAATAATGCTTCCACAAATATGATAATATTCCAACTGATACTTTATCCAGAGGAGTTGTGTGCAACAACTAGAAGCTGAAATGTATTCTTCTTCTATTGTTGACAAAGAAATGGTTGGTTATCTCTTACTAGCCCATGATATAAGATTTTCACCTATGAATTGGCAGTTTCCAACTAGTGGATTTTATCTCAATTTTATCCCCAGCATAGTCAACACCATAAAATCCAACTAGCTTATAATATTAAGGTTTCTTATAAAGCAATCCTAGATTAGTTGTTCCCTTTAGATACCTAAATATCCTCTTAACAGAAGTTAAATGAGTCTCTCTAAGATATGATTGAAATCTAGTACACAAACACTCACTAAAAAAAATATTAGGACTAGAAGTTGTTAGCTAAAGCAGAGAACCACCCATACATCTATAAAACTTCTGGAAGACTTTGGTGTTGCTTTCTTCTTTGCTCAGATTGTAAGTTGGATGCATAGGAGTTGTCATGATTTTGCAGTCATCCAGCTTAAACGTCTTCAAAAGTTCCTTTATATACTTTGTTTGATGAACATAAACTCCATATTTGCACTGATTGATTTGAATTCCAAGAAATAATTCCAATTATCCCATCGTGCTCATCTCAAATTCATCCTGCATAGTCTTAGAAAATTCCTTGCATAGACTGGCATTAGAAGAACAAAAAATGATGACATCTACATATACTTGGACAATCAAGATTTCATTTTTCAGTGTATTTCTGAATAGTTTAATGTCCACTTGACCCTTTTAAAAACCATTTTCTAACAGAAAATTGCTCATTCTCTCATACCAAGCTCTAGGAGCTTATTTTAGTCCATAGAGAAATTTCTTGAGTTTTAAAACATATTCTGGATGGATAGAATCCTCAAATCCGGGAGGTTGTTTGGCATACACTTATTCAGAAATCACACTATTTAAGAATGCACTCCATCCATTTTATATAAGATAATATTATTATTATTAGCATAGGAAATGAGTAGTCTGATTTCCTCTAACCTTGCAACAAGTGCAAAGATTTCAAAGAAATATATACCTTCTTGCTTATTGTAGCCTTGAGCTACAAGTATAGTTTAATTCTTCACAACTTCTCCTTGTTCATTGAACTTGTTTCTAAAGACCAATCATGTTCCAATAATGTTCTTATGATGAGGTTTGTGTACCAGATCCCAAACATCATTCCTTTGAAATTGGTTCAGCTTTTCTTGCATTGCCACAATTCATCCATCATATGATATTGCTTCATCAATAAAAGTAGGTTAAATCATGGAAATAAGTCCTAACATGAAATCTTATTCTTTGAAGGTAAATCTTGTCTTCTTAGGACTATTCTTATTTCTAATGATCAACTCTTATGCATGAGAAGACTTATACTTGAAGGTATTCTTATATTGTGTTGCTAACTGAGAACCATTATGAGCTTGTTTAGTTGCTTCTTCATTAAGATGAGTAAAGTTGGATCAACTTCTGGACAACCATCTTCTGATGGTTGAGCAACTTAGGAGCATACACCTTCTGAAGGTTGGCCAGTTTTTGAATAGTTAACCACTACGGGTTGAGAGACTATGGAACATCCAATGCTAGAGGTGTCTTCAGATACCTGCAATTCTGAAAAAATTTCAACAAGCTCTGACATTTTATTGCCAGGCTCCTTGTCATCAAATTTTCCATGTAATGACTCTTCAACCATTCTGGTGTCAGAGTTATACACCCAGTGTGCCTTTAAGCGTTTAGAATATCCTAAGAAGATACCCTTCTAAGCTTTGGTAGCAAATTTGTTTTGATAGACTTTGTTGTTCAAAATGTAACATGCACATCCAAACTAGTTCCATATGATATTTTGTTTAGAATACGTATAATATAGATTTTGTTCTAAATATAACATGATGTGTTAACAGCTTCTGCCCACAAGTACTTTGGTAAATTGTTTTCATGAATCATGGTTCTAGCCATTTCTTATAAAGATTTGGTCTTCCTCTATACAACTTGATTTTGCTGTGCAATTCTAGGAGAAGAGAACTCATGGAAAATTCCAAGTGTTTCACAAAAAAAAATCAAATGGCTCATTTTCAAATTCTCCTCCATGATCACTTCTGATCTTTAAATTTTTTTAATATTTTTCATTTTGTACTTGTATGCAGAAGATGTTGAACATATCATATGACTCGTATTTGGATCTAAAGCACTTAACTCAAGTCCATATGTTGTAGTAATCAACTATGACTAATGCATATTGTAAGTTTAAGAGTGCACAATCTAAGAGGGGGTGAATTAGACTTGCTGGATTTTTCTGGAATTTATGCAAGCTCTTTTTCTTTTTCAACTTTCTAGTTTACAATAAAGTGTAGGGGTTGTTTTGAATTATGAATAATAGAAATTCAAAGAACACCAAGATGTATACTAGTTCCCTTTTCCAACTAATGGTATATTTAATCCCCTCACACTCGTGAGAGATTTCCACTATTATTAGATCTTTGTACATGCATCACACTAAGACTTCTCCTACAATCTTCTAACAAGAACAAAGAAGCACACAACTTCCTTAATTTCCAACAATACCAACAATAATAGTGGACTTTGAATCAAATCAATGTAAATGACCTTTTTACAACAATCACCAATAACTTGATGAACACGCCAAACACCAATAGTGAACTAATCAATACAAACAAAGTAGAATTTGAGTAATTTGAAGGCTTGACTTGAATTCCAAAAATATGACAAATTAATAACAATCCAAATATATATACTTAAGTTCTCATAATAATTTGAATGAAACCCTTTTCAATTAAATGAAAGTTATGCACAAACTTTCATTTTTTTATGGAAATATGAACACTTGAAAAAGTTGTTTGAATCATGTAAAAACGATGGATGAAAGAGGTTATATGAAAACTAATGTGTTTTGCCTTATATACTTACTAAAAAACTTTTATGAATTAATGCAAAAGTTTGATACATTTTAATGAAGGTTTGCAATAGTTTAGAATGACAATGGTTCATGAAAATACACAATTTTGAATTATGTACATGACTTATTAAGTCGATTAAACCGACACTTGACTTAACAAGTGCGTAATGTTTTTTTGAATTTCAAACAATTTTTTTAAAATTTCAAATAGCAACATGTTTGGTTAAGTCGGTTAATCATACAATGTTTTTGTTGTTGTTCAGATTATTTTTTGTGTAGATCTCATCATTTTATATCTAGTTGAGTTTATTATATCTAATGTCTATTTTTTATTTCACTAACCCCTCTTTGAACAAATATCCTATTAAATTGATTTTGGAAATAATCTAATTAAAAACTATGTTGTATTTGAAACATATCTTACATTGATCATTTATCTCATATTTTTTTATCGTTAAAATCTATCCAATACTTCTAGTTTTCATTCAACTTTCTTCCATAAAGAACTTAAAACATTGAAGATATTTTAACCAAAAAAGAGCGTGAGGTGGATGATGAGTTAGAGGATGCTAGAAAATCCTAGATTAATGGAAGTTGATTTTCATATATAACATGATTTTTCATATAATTATTTTCCTAACTAATTTTGAAAAGTTATATATTCAGTTAGGGTGAAATAAAAAATTTACATTAGGTATTATGAACTCAATCTTATTTAACCTGTCGGTTAAATGGAAAAACTGAGGGGAGAAGTGGTAAACTAAATGATGTATTCCTTAGATTTTAATAATAACCAAAGGGTAAGTGCCTATATTATTTTATTTTTTTAATTAAGAAGGAAATAATGTCTCCCCTCGATTTTAGTTAGAAACTGAGCCTGAGGGTGATACATTAACCACTTGATTCATGAAGTAACCTAGAATCCATATATGCCATACATTCATAAAGTTACAATGCTCAAGATATTGCCAACACGTCAATCCATAAGAAAACCTCTACACCAATAAGAATGCAAACACCAACACTCTATATATTGGAATCTTTCTTGACATTGTTTGTTACCTCGTCTCTGTAACCGAGGTTAAAAAACCCTTCGCGTCTGAGGTTATGTCTGTTTATTGTAATAGTGTTGATTATTTCACCCTCGGAATTTGCCTTCACCTTATAGACCCATTTTACACCAATTGGCTTATTTTATTTGGTAGATCAACTAACTTTTAAGTATAGTTCTTCT